ACAAAACACACAAGATGTTCTTGTGTACATGTACTTGTGAACACTTTCGAACAGTGAAAGCAAGAAAAGTCAGACTTAAGGGCCTATGTCTGCAGCACACAACCGTTCGATCTGAGTGCGTTCATAAACACAACCGTTTGATCTGAGAACATGTCATGAACGCCGATATTTTTACAAATACTTTTGCACTAAATCCAACTAAACGTAAAATTGATGTAATCCCCATAAGTAAAATTATGATAAAATATATGTCAGTATTGATTTGAAGAACTAGTCCAGAGAACAGGTTGTTGGACCTGTTCCAACAGCCTGTTGCCCCAAGTTATCACAAGTCGAGCCTAGCCCCAAAGCGGCTCGGGGAGTAGAAGAACTCTTGAAACCCTCTGCAGGTAGGTTCCAGGTATACTGGTGTCTGTCTGTCGAAGCCCACCCTGTCTACAGATGTAACAATCATTGTACAAAACTGCTGTCTAGTTTACCGTTAACAAGCAAAAAAAAAAGTGAGCTGTTCAAATGGTTTGAGGCTTCAAATCTGTACATAAATACTTGAGAACCAGTATTATTAACTCACTGAGGAAGGAAGAGAGACTATTGAGTACGCTGACGTGGGAGAGGGAACATGTACATCAGTTACTTGTACATTTAAAAACATAGTAGACACATAGAGAGATAATAATAATAATAATAATTTATTTTCACAAGAAGGTACAATAGATTGGTAAGATTACACAAGATTGCAATTTTTACATTCTTGCAAAGCCACTAACACGCGTAGCGTTCCGGGAAGGTTTACAAGTTTACATATTGACATCAGTCAACAAGTCAAGAAACATAATCAATCCGATTACCATGATGTTAAGACTTAAGGGCTTACAGGACCGTTGAATATTTGCTCATTTTGGGTCCTTTCAAATTCTAAAAAGTACCTCACGCTCCGTTGTTTCACCTCAGGGTAACTAGGGTCCGGATGACTATTTGATGTAGCAACAACGAGGTCCCCGGCGCCACTCAAACAAGCAATCTAGCCCTTAGACTTCAAGGCTAAGTTACGACTACACAAATTTCACCTATTTCCCAACTAAGGGAGTTGCTCCTGAGCTACCGTGCAGTGAGGACGTGTCGCCTGCTCGCTCCGGTAGTTTGAGGTGGTTGCCGTTTTCGCCGGCAGGGGGTGTGGGTGTCTCTACCCTCCCTGCTGTTCCTGGTGATGTGGACGTGGCGCTTTTACGATGGGCGGCCATCTTCCCCCTGTCGTGAGGGTAAACTCCATCGGATTGGAGTTTACTGGCCGTGCTGGATACCCGCTGTTGGACGTGGTATTGAGTGCCATGCTTCGTATCCCAGTTGGGGACGTATATGGCATTGAGCTGGTAACTGCTCACCGTGTTGTTGTCAAGTTTGTGGGTGAGGCGGTGTACCGTGCTTTCTTACGGAGGTACGAGGGACGTACTTTGCAGCTACAGGACGGCACCGGGTCTGTGACCTTTTCAGACCGTAGTGGTGCTGTGACGTATGTCAGTGTTCATGGCGCCCCCATGGAGTTTCCTGAGACTCTCCTCCGGCGATTCTTCCAGAGGTACGGCTCCGTCGTCAGTGTGCGGATGAACTCACTGTCGTCTGGCACGTATTCGGGTGTGAAGATCAACATTTGGACCATCAGGATGCGACTGAGGTTGGACATACCGTGCTCTGTCCGGCTGTTGGGGTACTACGTGCGTGTGTTTTATGCCCGGCAAGCCCGTACTTGCTTCTGGTGTGGCTTGTTGGGGCATCAGGCTGCCGGGTGTACTGCTGATTCGGTCGCTCCTGTGAACTTGTTCCGTGAGGAGGATTTCCCGCCGCTCCCTCTGGAGGAGGACTCCGGGGGTGAGGAGGTGAGCGTCCCGTTCGCTGCTGCGGCTCCCCCAGTGTCACCTGACGTTCCCCCGGTTGTTGCAGACCCTCCTCCGGGTGTTGCGGTGCCGTCGGATGTTCCTCCTGACCATGTCTCTGGCCCTGCCGTTCCCATGGACCTTCCTGGTGATCCCTGTGGAGCGTCGCCGTCGGCTTCCTCGTCTTCGGCTGTGGACCCTGGCCCTGCGTCCTCCCCTCGGGTTCCTCCTGTGCTGGGTGCTGGGGTGGCTGCGGTGCCTCCTGCTGTGTGTGGTCCGGTTCCCCCTGTGGTAGAGGCTGCTGCCGTTCTGCGACGGGCGTCGGTTCGCCTGGTTCGTGACGCCAGTGGTTCTGGGTCCGCCTCCGGCTGTAAGGATGTGCGGCCAGTGCCCAAGCGGTCCAGGCGTTCTTCTACTGCTTGGGCTGATGCGGAGGACTACGACGCAGGTGGAGCTTCGGGAGATGATGTGGCGACTCCGGGTGCTTCGCGCTCTACGACTCTGGTGGTGGCTGACGTCCATGTGTCTGCTGTTGACGATGTTTGTACCTATGATTTACCTCCTGTTCTTTCTCCTGCAGAAGGTTCTCCGCAGTGGGGGCTGGTCGCTCCTACTGACGTGGATGGTGAGAGTTCTGGTGCGCGCCGAGGCATCAAGCTGGTACTGAAGAAGGATGCCAAGCGTGGGGGGTCCCGGCAGGAACAACGTCCAGTGGTTGACGCGGAGCGCTGTGAGGCGGCCGAGGAGGCTCCCAGTGCGCTGCCCATTGCCCGGCCTCGTGGGAAGGAGCCCCTCCCTCTCATCTTGGCCTCCGGAGTGGCGCATGATGTGCAGCATCCTCTGCAGTTTGACATTATTGACCGCGCGCATCCTGTTCCGTGGTGCCCTTCTTCCATCTGGGTACAGCGGGCTCGGTGTTTTGTTGTGGGTGTGCCGGAGTTGATGCCTGATCCTCGTACTGTTCATACTGTGCCTGTTCCGGATGACGTAATGTTACTGTGGGAGGCGTATTGTGTTCGGTTCCCGGCGGCGGAGTGGCCGGATAAGTATGAACAATTTTGAGTAGTCTGTGTGCTTGCTGTGACCTGTGGTTTGTTTGCAATGTATTGTACCTATTGTGCGCCCTTCAGGCCGGTGTTGAGTTTTTCATGACTGTTGTTTTGTTGTATTTATTGTATTTCCGTTACCCTTCTGTCCGGTATTGTTGTTTCTTTTTCCTGTGTTTCATTGTGTTTATGTTCATTGTTGTGATTTTGTTGTCGGTCCTTCAGGCCGGTATTTTTTTTTTTTTTTTGAGATATATACAAGAGTTGTTACATTCATGTACAGCCACTAGTACGCGTAGCGTTTCGGGCAAGTCCCTGGAATACGATCCCCTGCCGCGAAGAATCGTTTTTTCATCCAAGTACACATTTTACTGTTGCGTTAAACAGAGGCTACAGTTAAGGAATTGCGCCCAGTAAATCCTCCCCGGCCAGGATACGAACCCATGACATAGCGCTCGCGGAACGCCAGGCGAGTGTCTTACCACTACACCACGGAGACTGTAAATTTAATTAATTAAATGTAAATTTAGTGTATTTGTGTTACTTTGTGTTTATTTGCTTTCTGCTTTTGTATTTTTTTGTTGTCTGATTGTTTGTTATTGGTTTCTTATTTTATTAAATTTATTGTATTGTATTTATTCGCATGTAAAAAAAAAAAAAATAAAAAAAAAAAAATTCCCAACTAGGAACTCAAACCGCAGTATTATTAAGAGCACCACAATAGCTTACGAAACAGCAAGTATACTTTAGTCCTCCAGGTAATTCTAGACTAAAATAAACTCTCAGTGTATTACACACCGAGAAGCGGGGTACACCTGTTGTGAGTGTCCCCTTGTGTCTCCAAACTTTAATGGGTGTGTGTGTCTCCAAACTTTAATGGGTGTGTGTGTGTCTCCAAACTTTAATGGGTGTGTGTGTGTGTGTGTCTCCAAACTTTAATGGTGAGTGTGTGTCTCCAAACTTTAATGGGTGTGTGTGTGTCCCTTGTGTCTCCAAACTTTAATGGGTGTGTGTGTATGTGTCTCCAAACTTTAATGGTGTGTGTGTGTCTCCAAACTTTAATGGGTGAGTGTTCCCTTGTGTCTCCAAACCTTAGTAAGCCACGCATGTGATTTCACATGAAAAACTCAACAGCTGTAACAGGTAACTATTATTCAGAGAACAAGTGCGCGCTAACACCCAGAACGATAACAGCAGCCCCGGCAAGTGCGCAAGTAACGGCTTATGGCCAACATTCTGACACACAAACGAGGCGAACATAATTACCTTTACTGCGCCTGTTTATACGTAAATACGACACGAGCCGGAGTCATAGTATCCCCCGGCTAACGCTGCCCGCAAGCCAACGCCAAGAACTACAGGGCTCACCATAGCCCGTGCTGCTTGGAACTTTTTGTTCCAGGTAGCGAATAACAACAATAACAAACGAGAGACTGCAAGGCAAACACACGTTCCTAACATATCTCACTCCCATTACTTTTAAAACAGCCGTCGAGGCACTCATAAAGAACCTCACAGGAAACCTCAATTTTGCATAATAAGATATCGCAGCGCGATAAAAATAATTGGAAAAGTTACTTCTCGCAAGGAAGAAAACGAACGCGTTTCCCCCAGTTGAAGAGACGGCAATGGTGCATCAGAGACCACGATAACACCCATTAATGGTAGTGTTGTTGGTGTAGGTCACCCATGGGTACTGGCACTCTGCACGGTGTTGTGTCGTGTGGGTGTGGTGGCCAGTGTGTCGTGGGGCGTACTGTGTACTGTGGCCCACTGCGTAATGTGGCCCACTGTGTACTGTGGCCCACTGCGTATTGTGGCCCATTATGTACTGTGGCCCACTGCATATTGTGGCCCACTGTGTACTGTGGCCCACTGTATACTGTGGCCAACTGCATAATGTGGGCCCACTGTGTATTGTGGGCCACTGCATATTGTGGCCCACTTGTGGCCCCCTCCCCGCTCAGCTCGTTGTTGCCGTGAGGGGGGCTTAGTGGGCGGCTGCCGGAGTGTGATGCTCCTTGGGACAGTCCTCTGTCCTTTTCTAGCCTTGTGCTCCTGCTGCCGTCCTCTCCAATTAGCA